AGAGTGAGGTGGGGGAATATCGAGAGTAAGTCAAAAATAAGCTAATCTGAAAGTATCACTCTTCACCTAATGGGGGTGGGGGTGTTAAGTTCAACAGTTGTGGTCTATATACTTTCTGGTGGGTGGGTAAGTGGGGAGAATACACAGAAGTCAATCAATTTAAACTTGTTCGCCTTCCTCCTCCTCTTCGAATTCGCCTTCCTCCTCAGCAGTTGCATCTTGATATTGTTGATATTCACTGACTAGATCGTTCATGTTCGACTCAGCTTCGGTGAATTCCATTTCGTCCATACCTTCACCAGTATACCAATGCAAGAAGGCTTTGCGACGGAACATGGCTGTGAACTGTTCGGAGACACGTTTGAATAATTCTTGTATGGCTGTACTATTGCCAACAAATGTGACAGACATTTTAAGGCCCCTAGGTGGAATATCGCAAACCGCAGTTTTCACGTTGTTCGGGATCCATTCAACGAAGTAGCTGGAATTTTTGTTCTGCACATTCAACATTTGCTCATCGACTTCCTTCATGGACATACGGCCACGGAACATAGCGGCAACAGTCAAATAACGTCCGTGACGGGGATCGCAAGCGGCCATCATGTTCTTGGCATCAAACATCTGTTGTGTCAATTCCGGCACCGTGAGCGCACGATACTGCTGGCTACCTCGACTGGTCAGTGGAGCAAATCCGGGGATGAAGAAGTGTAATCGTGGAAATGGAACCATGTTCACGGCCAGTTTACGTAAATCTGCATTCAACTGGCCGGGAAATCGGAGACACGTAGTCACACCAGACATGGTTGCACTAACCAAATGATTCAAATCACCATAAGTTGGTGTGGTCAGTTTCAGAGTGCGGAAGCAAATATCATACAGAGCTTCGTTATCAATGCAATAGGTCTCATCGGTATTCTCAACCAGCTGATGCACTGACAAGGTAGCGTTGTATGGTTCGACAACTGTATCAGAGACCTAGTGGGAATACGAAGAAAGTCGTAA